GAGAGGCTGTAGAAAAAAGGGAACCCTAGTGCACTGTTGGTGGGAATGCAGACTAGTGCAGCCACTGTGGAAATCAATCTGAAATTTCCTCAGTAAAGTAGAAATGGAACTGTCTTTTGACTTAGCAATTCCACTGCTAGGATATCTTAAGAGCCCTGAAACACCAATCCAAAAGAACCTATGCATCTGAATGTTCATAGCAGTACAATTTACAATTGCTGAGTGCTGGAAGCAACCAATCTAAGTGCCCATCAGTAAATGTGTGTATGAAAAAACTATGGTACATTTACAGAACGGAATACTATACAACAGAGAGAAAGGAGCTCCTACCCTTTGTAACAGCATGGGTGGAACTGGAGAGCATTATGCTAAGTGAAATAAGCCAGGTGTTGAGGGACAAATAGTACTATATAATCTCACCTTATGTGGAACATAATTAACAAAAGGAAAAAAGCAAACAAAACATAAGCAGACATTGAAATCAATAATCTAACAATAATCAGAGGGGAAAAGGAAGGCAGAAATGGGGGAAAAGGTTTTCAGAAACTACCGTAAAGGACACATGGACAAAACCAAGGGGAAGGGTAGAAGCAAGGGAGGGAAGTGGGTTTGGCTGGGGTGCAGGGGGAGTGGGGCAGGAAATGCAGACAACTATAATTGAACAACAATAAATTAATTTAAAAAAATAAAATAGTTTCAAAAGAAAAAAGATCATTGTGGCAATTTATGTTTTGTTGTTAGGTTATTTTAAATATTTCACTGAATCTGATATATTAATTCATGTAAATACTTAGATAGTTTAACTAAATTTGTAGTTGATGATTAAATGGCCAAGAGCAACTGGTTTACAAAATTCTCAAGACTTTAAATACACAGAAAGATTTGAGAACAGCATCTAAAAGTGGGCTTTGTAAAATGTTTGAGGTATAAGGGCAAAGCAGATAAACTAAATATCTAAGTATGAACTGAATGACTCACCTAAGTTTGACAGTAGTTAGGGAGAGTTTAGTCCACCATAGTACTAAAAAAAATTGTGCATTAATCTAAGAACAAGTTAAAATTAAACCTTTTAATTTTAACAAACATATCACTAGATATTAAACAAACTAAAATTTAAAATTGGGGCTTAAAGGTTTAGGGCATACTTATTTTCTAAATTCACGATTAATTAGCTACACAATTACTTTAATATTAATTTAATTTAAATCCACAACATGAAACTTAACTTTCTCATGCCAAACACCCTTCCTCTCAGACACTGAAAATCCAATTGTCTTATTTGTAAAATAACAATTTTATGATGTATAAATCCTAGAAAAAAACAAATTAAATTCTAGAATCTAAGAAATTCTATGTGATGACTGAGTAAAACAAAGCTGTCTGGACTTTTCTTGAATTTCTTCTTATGTTTTTTTCTTTTGTGTGAACAAGAAATTATCTGTATTCGGTAATGCAAAATAAAAATTTCATATAAAAAACCCCTCCTATTTTAGAAGCAAAGAGGCTTCTACATCAGTCTCTAAAATTAAACTCTTCTTCTCATCCCTGGTAGAATTTTATATGACGTCCAAACAGCTGAAACATTTAAAATACTTCAATTAATTCCCTTGAAATCACAGCTATGAATGCCTTTGCTTTTGTGTCCACATTAACTTTTTCAAAGTTATACATGCTTTTCATTCATGCTGATCATTTCATATGAATATATGTTCCATCAGAAATGTTAATGCCCCACCAACAAAGGCACAGCCAGCTCAGGTGTCATAATGTAAGACACCATGTGGTGACATAATAGATCAAGCTATGAAACTTAATCATAAAGGTCCAAATTGATAAAGCCCAAGGCATAAAATAACAACTGCAGAGGCAACTTTCCCCTACTTTTACTTACATAGGTTATATTTTCAACCTGAGATAAATATAAATTTATATTTTAATAAATGTTTGAATTCTACAATAGAAAATTAACCTGCAGTCACACTAATCAAGTCATAAACCATGAAAAACCCAGATAAAAACCCAAAATATTTTTGGTACTGAAAAGTAAGAAAAGTTAATACTTATAAAACAAGAATTGCTCTTCCCTGGAAGATTTGAGCTGAATCAGCTGCTCATAGGTGCCCTGAGAAATAAAAAGAAAATCTAGACTCCATTGTTGAAGAAACAAGATCATGACTTCTATAAACTATGAAAAAGTATATTCCAAGTATTTATTATTTTTCTAAATTTAGCAATAAAATATAAAATCAGTAATTCTAGGTTGTCCTTTAACTTATATATTTTTAAAGCTCCCTCTTCTCTTCATTTTAAGTACTTCAGTATTAATGATGAGAGCCCATGTGCATGCTATTAATGGCTTTTCCTTGAGCTGGCCCAGAAGCTACAGTAGGTAGTTGAATGTGGTTTCTTGTAACTTTTTTGAAGTAATAATTACATCAAATGGTTTATGAAAAATCATTTGAAAATAATAGATAAAATATAATATTACTGATCAGAAACATTACTTGACTAGAAATAGTTTGGTTATGAATAACAAATTATAGCATTAAATGAAAGCAAACATCCCTCATATATGAGTACATATTGTTTAAACTAAAATACCTAAGTTATCTCTATTTTTCCTCTTTACTCTGAACAGGATATAGTCACTCTGGAAGAGCATCTGTGTGTGCTAATATGTTTCTAAGCCTCTTTGCCTTTTTACTTAGTTAAAGTGGCAGCAAATATTATTTTTAGCACCCCAGAACTATTATTAGGACAAGACAGCATAAGGTCCTGAGGTTTTCTGGAGAATAGTTATATTCAAGTCAAAGAATGTTGTACACAGAAAGAAAAATGCTACCAAAATTTAAAGGTGTATTTTTAGGTTTTTCCTTTCTCACTAACCTGTGAATCTGCTATTTTCAAGTGATGAGTCATAATAAGTGGTGGACCCATTTTTGTGATAGTTACGTGGGATGAATGCAAATTAACGACTGTAGGAAAGAGTTAATTTTCTTATGAGACATGGACTACAAGGAAGAAAACAAAAGAAACAGATAAAGAATCAGTTTATTTAAAAAAAACATGGTTTGGCCCTGGCTGGTGTAGCTCAGTGGATTGAGAGCGGGCCTGCAAACCAGACAATCGCGGTTCGATTCCCAGTCTGGGCACATGCCAGGGCACATGCAGGCCGGTTCCCTGCAGGCCAGTTCCCAGCACGGGATGCACGAAAGGCAACCATACATTGATGTTTCTCTCCCTCTCTCCTTCCCCTCTAAAGATAAATAAATAAAATCTTTAAAAAAAAAGTAACTTAAAAAAAAAACAAAAACATGGTTTGAATTTACAAGTGTGGAGAAAAAAGGCAAGAAAATATTGCAGTTTAAATGAGCGGTAAATTCCAGGAAAAGACAACTACATGATTAAGCAAATGGAGGGCAATGAGAGGATAACATGAAAATCCGCCACTTACTATCCACTAAGAACACAATTCAAAATGAGTCTTCAGTGTACTCTTGCAGAATATCAAAGTGAGGTTTCAGGAACCCTATCATCAAACCTTAAATTCAAATCCCACCTCCATTATTTTTCACATATATATCCTTGGGAAAATCCCTTCACTTTAGTTTGCTCATCTACAAAATGGAGCTAACATAAGTACTGGGTGATTCCAGAGCCCTTGTTCCTGGCTGGTGCCTCAATTCCTGTCCTCTTCATCCACACCTTACCAGACAGACACCTTCTTCTCAGTTTGAACCACAGTCCAGACTCTGTAGTTTTACAAGCACAGCCCTGGACTCCATGCCCTTCCCCAGCTAATGCCTGCTGTGTCCTTCCTTTCATCACCAAAGGCTCCACAAGAGGGGTCTGTCTTGAAGTTCTGAATGGTCACCCCCTGGGATATCTGCTCATGCTGTTTGGTTAGAGACCAGCAAAACGTACCACTAAACATTTAGTTGGGAAATAAAACAACTCCTGTTCTGTTCTCACCCTCTGTGGGCTTTGTGAAGCACCTACCACTGCTGACCTTCCTTGGCTCCCTAACTGCCCTCTTCCTTTGACTTCCTAGAAATGACTTGATTCTTTTTCCCATTTCCCTCATTTTGCTTTCCTAGTGACATTTCCTTGTTCTTTTACCCAGGGTTCCATTCTTGGTCCTCCACAACCACATTTTTTAAACTTAATTTTGAGATTATTGAAGATTCATATGCACTTGTAAGAAAAAATACAGAGACATCCCAAATATCCTTCACCCCAACAGTAACATCTTACACGGCTATAGTACCATATCAGAACCAGGAAACTGACATTGAGACAATTCATCAAAATTCAGAGTTTGGTAGTTCTACATACACTCATTTGTGTATGTTTGTGTGGGAAGGTAAAGTGCTATTTTATTAGTTGTATGTATAGATAACACACCTTCATTTTGACTCACATTCTAGAGATGGGGTCTTGTCATTCTGGGAAAAAGGGTGGTTGAGGAGGACATACAGCAGCCCCTAAGCCCTGAGGATACCCACACACTCTAAAGGGGCCCCTGTGCTGTAAAAAGAGCTATCCTTAAATTGTGGCATGTAAATTACCATCTTTCTCTTCATAATGCTCCTTAGTCTAGAACACTTTACCATCTTCTTTCAATATCTGTCCACCCTTTTAAGTCTGGCTTTGGTTTGTCTCCATGGGAAGCCCCTATGGTGCTACCAGTCCACAAATGAGTCCTTTTGTATTAACTCTGTTTCTCCTATTATATGTAAAGCTACTTTGGGATAAAAAATAAACTGTTTTTGTGGGTCCCATGGGTCTGAAACATATGGGTCTTCAATAATACAAAGTTCAACTACAGTGGGAAAAGAAAGGTAAAGAGAAGAAACAAGGAAGGCAGAACTTTCACAGAGGACTGTAGAAACTAGAATTTCAAAAACTAGATTAAAAAAATATCACAGCAAGCATGGATAAAAGACTATAATCTTTACTTTTCCTGCCCACAAGAATCAATATTCTGAAAAAAATCTCACCCTCTTCCACAGTAAACAGGTGGCCCATTTCTGCTGATGAGTGATATTGGACTGGCTCAGAATTCTTCACATTTGCCAATGGCAGGAAGGGGTCATAATCTGAAGATGACAGGTCAGCCAGGGTCAATGTGTAGTGACTCTGTTGGGTGTATGTGCTTGAGCCACACACACAGCAGTGGAGAACCTGTGAAAAAAAGAAGGGAATGTAACCTTCTGTACCTGATAATTTATCAGACTACAACAGCACTTAGAAGGTAGGACTCTGCTTGGTAGTACTTGAAAACATCAAATCCTTTCCATTCTAAAGCACAGTCTTGCTATTGGCAAGTTCATTTGTTCCTTTCACATCAGTGCCGATAAATATATTCTCAAGGCAAAAAAAAAAAAGCAAAAGTAAAAAGTGCTTATTTCACCATTCTGTGTAGTGCCACATATCTAGGTCCTGCTTTAGTCCACCAAGGGCAACACAAGTAAATAGAAAGAACTAAATCTGGAGACGAAGACTAGCTATGGCATAAGCCATAAGATAAACCACCATCATTAATAGTGGAGGGTAGACTGCAAGCAATAAGCAGAGACTGTCAGCATTTCACAAATGGTCATGAACTTAAATTAGCATAACTCACAATTCCAATAATTGGAAAGGCTAATTTAATCCAATTTTTAAAAGTGTGATTAATGAAGTAAATTTGATACAAATTTTTAAGTACTCTTATTCTCACAAGATCAGTTTCGTAAAAGCTTATTCGTTGTTTACAAATTGCTATTGACTCTATAAGGTCTTTTTTAAGTATTTTTATTGATTATGGTATTAGAGTTGTTCCATTTTTTCCATCCCTTTTATCCCCCTATTCCCCCCTCCAAAACTTCCCTTCACTTAGTTCATGTCCATGGGTCATGCATACAACTTCTTTGTCTTCTCCATTTCCCATATTGTTCTTAACCCACCCCTGTCTATTTTGTACCTACCATTTATACTTTTTATTCCCTGTACCTTTTCCTCTATCCTCCCCCTGCCCCATTCCTGTTGATAACCCTCCATGTGATTTCCATTTCTTTGGTTCTGTTCCTGTTGTAGTTGTTTGCTTAGTTTGTTTTTGTGATTTCTTTTTCTTTTAGGTTCAGTTGTTGATAGTTGTGACTTTGTTGTCATTTTGTTCATAGTTTAGATCTTCTTTTTCTTAGATAAGTCCCTTTAACTTTTCACATAGCAAGGGGCTTGGTGATGATGAACTCATTTAACTTTATCTTGTCTGGGAAGCACTTTATCTGCCCTTCCATTCTAAATGATAGTTTTGCTGGATAGAGGTTCTGGCCTTTCCTGACTTTGGATACTGCTTTGCAGCCCTTTCTTGCCTGCAAGGTTTCTTTTGAGAAATCAGCTGACAGTCTTATGGGAACTCTTTTGAAGGTAACTGTCTCGTTTTCTCTTGCTGCTTTTAAGATTCTCTCCTTATCTTTAATCTTGGGTAACTTAATTATGATGTGCCTTGGTGTGTGCTTCCTCGGCTCCAACTTCCTTGGGACTCTCTGAGCTTCCTGCACTTTTCTGGAAGTCTATTTCCTTTGCCAGATTGGGAAGTTTTGCATCATTATTTTTTCAAATAAATTTTCCATTTCTTTTTTTTAAATTTTAATTAATTTTATTTAGTTATTTTTCAAGTACAGTTTTTTGTTTATTTTTCCCATCCCAGCCTCCCCCACCCCTTACTCCCCACCTCCCTCCCATTTCCACCCCCCTTAGTTCTCGTCCCTGTGTCCTTCCTATTTGTCCCTCCAAATCGCCCCCCCCCATGTTTTCCCCTTAACTTCCCTTCCTTCTCCCCTTTGGTCACTGTCCCCTTGTTCTCTATTTCAGTGTCTTTGTTTTTTTTTTTCCTGCTTGCTTGTTTGTTTTGTTTAGCTTCCTGTTAAAGGTGAGATCATATGGTATTTGTCTTTCAGCCCCTGGCCTATTTCACTCAGCATAATGCTTTCCAGTTCCATCCATGTTGTTGCAAAGGGTAGTAGCTCCTTCTTTCTCTCTGCAGCATAGAATTCAAAGAACTTACATGACTCCACTCTAAGAAGACACCCAACCCAATTAAAAAATGGGAAAAGGACTTGAACAAACAGTTCTCCAAGGAGGACATACAGAACATTCAGAGACACATGAAGAGATGCTCAATATCGTTAGCTATCAGAGAGATGCAAATTAAAACCACAATGAGATACCACTTTACACCGGTCAGGATGGCTATCATAAACAAAGCAACAAACAACAAATGTTGGAGAGGGTGTGGGGAAAAGGGGTCTTTTAGTTCACTGTTGGTGGGATTGCAGACTGGTACAACCATTATGAAAAACAGTATGGAATTTTCTCAGAAAAATAAAAATCGACCTGCCTTTTGACCCAGCAATTCCACTGCTAGGATTATATTCTAAGAATCCTAAAACATCAATATCAAAGAACCTATGCACCACAATGTTCATAGCAGCACAATTTACAATAGCCAAGAGCTGGAAGCAACCTAGGTGCCCATCAGTAAATGAATGGATCAAAATATTGTGGTACATATACACAATGGAATTCTATGCTGCAGAGAGAAATTTTCCATTTCTTGCTCTTCTTTTCCTTCTAGCTCCATGATGATTTGGATGTTAGAGCGTTTAAAGTTGTCTCAGAGGTTCCTAGGCCTCTCCTCATTTTTTTGAATGTTTGTTTCTTCATTCTGTTCTGATTAGATGTTTCTTTCCTTCTTTTGTTCCAAATCATTGAGTCCCAGTTTCCTTCCCTTCACTGTTGGTTTCCTGTATATCTTGCTTTATTTCACTTTACATAGCTTTCACTTTTTCTCTATTTTGCATCTTTACACAACCATTTCTGTGAGCATCCTGATGACCAGTGTTTTAAACTGTGCATCTAATCGGTGGGCTATCTCCTTGTCATTTAGTTCTTTTTCTGGAGCTTTTGATCTGTTCTTTCATTTGGGCCATATTTCTTTTTCTCGGAGCACCTGTTATGTTGTAAGGGGCAGAGCCTTAGGTATTTGTCAGGGTGTGGCAACCACTGTGGTGCTGTATGGGAAGCAGGAGTCAGAGAGGAAAAAATAGTGCTTGCTCGGCTCTCGCCTCACTTTCAGTCACTTCCTCCACTACCCACAAGTGACTTGGGCCTTTCTAATGCTGATTCCCAGGTGGGTGTGTTTATGCATGTTCTAGGGACCTGTGGGTCTCTCCAATGAACTCTCCTGTGAGACTGGGAGTTTCTCCTACTGCCGCAACCCCAACAAGTTTTTAAAGCCAGAGGTTTTGAGGCTTTAGTTTCCCTGGCTGGAAACCTGGGTTGTGTGGTCTGTGTCAATCCCCAGATGTTCTTCCCAGCTTATCTGCATGCAAGTGTGGGACTGCTTCATCTGCCACCTGCTGCCTTGCCTGTCCAATCTGCTGCCTTGCCACACACTCTCTTCACCCTGGCTGCCTGCCTCTGCCCCTCCTACAATCTGGATGAATGGTTTTTCTTTAACCTGTTGGTTGTCAGATTTCCATACAGTTTGATTTTCTGGCAGTTCTGTTTGTCTTTTTGCTTTTAAATTTGTTGCTGCCCTTCTTTTGGTAGCAAAGCATATCTATCTATGCCTCCATCTTGGGTGAAATTCTACTCTATGAGCACTAGAAGCTATGTAAATCATCTTGCATATGTCAAAATGTATAACTGAGCTAATAACTACAGTAAACTTTACTTTTTGATCATAAATTCAAAATCATAAAATTAAAAATCTGATTTTTAGGAAAATCAAGGTAAAACCCTAGAAATTAGGGAGATATCTTTTGGGCTATAGTTACATAAGTCAATTCACTTTTACTTATTTATTTCAAAAATTTTTTATTTCGTCCTGGCCAGGTAGCTCAGTTGGCTAGAATGTCATCCCAATGCACCAAGGTTGTGGATTCAATATCTGGTCAGTGGACATATAAGAATCAACCAATGAATGAGTAAGTAAGTGGAAAAACAAATTGCTGTTTCTTTTTCTCCCTTTTTTGCTCTCTCTAAAATCAATAAAATCAATAAAAATCATTTTAATTGAATTTATTGGGGTGATATTGGTTTACAACATTATATAGGTTTTTTTAAACTTTTTTATTCATTATGCCATTACAGTTGTTCTATTCCCCCCCTCCTTTCCCCTCCACCCTGAACACCCCTCCCCCACCATTCCCCCCCTTTAGTTCATGAACACATGTCTCAAGTTCTTTAGATTCTGTATTTCCCCCACTCTTCTTACCCTCCCCCCTATTTATTTTTTATCTATTGTCTATGCTACTTATTTTCGGTACCTTCTCCTCCCTTCTCCATCTCCCACTCCCCTGTTGCTAACCTTCCTTGTGATCTTCATTTCTATGGTTCACTCCTGATCTAGCTGTCCTCTTAATTTGCTTCTGGTTTAGGTGTGGTTGTTGATAACTGTGAGTTTGCTGTCCTTTCACTGTTCATCTTTTTTATCTTCTTTTTCTTAGGTAAGTCCCTTTAACATTTCATATAATAAGGGCTTGGTGATGATGAACTCCTTGAATTTGGTCTTATCTGAGAAGCACTTTCTTTATCTGCCCTTCCATTCTAAATGAAAGCTTTGCTGGATAGAGCAATCTTGGTTGTAGGTTTTTGCTTTTCATGACTTGGAATACCTCTTTCCAGCCCCTTCTTGCCTGTAAGGTCTCTTTTGAGAAATCAGCTGACAGTCTGATGGGAACTCCTTTGTAGGCAACAGTCCCCTTAGCTCTTGCTGCTTCTAGGATTCTCTCCTTCATTTTCATCTTGGCTAATGTAATGATGATGTGCCTTGGTGCGTTCCTTCTTGGGTCCAACTTCTTTGGGACTCTCTGAGCTTCCTGGATTTCCTGGAAGTCTACTTCCTATGCCAGAACGAGGAAGTTCTCTTTTATTATTTGTTCAAATAAGGTTTCCACTCATGACTGTTCCTCTTCCCCTTCTGGTAACCCTATAATTCGAATGTTGGAACGTTCAAAGATGTCCTGGAGGTTCCTAAGCCTCTCCTCATTTTTTTGAATTCTTGTTTCTTCATTCTCTTCTGTTTGGTCATTTTTTCCTTCCTTCTGGTCTACTCCCTTGATTTGAGTCCCAGTTTCCTTTCCATTACTGTTGGTTTCCTGTGCATTACCATTCATTTCAATCAGTTTAGCTTTCATATGTTCCTCTAATTTGTGACTAAAATCAACCAGTTCTGTGAGCATCCTGATCACCAGTGTTTTGAACTGTGCATCTGAAAGTTTGCCTATTTTTTCATCACTTAGATTTATCAGCTCTGGGGCTCTGAGTTGCTCTTGAGCCATGTTTTTATCTGTTCGTGCCCATTAAGTATGAGGAGCGGAGCCTTAGTTGTTTACCAGGGTGGGGCCACCCAGGTCACTGGTTTGTGATGCTGTATGTGGGGGCAGGGTCAGAGAGGGAGCAGTGGCGGTCCTCTCTGCTGGCCTAGTCCGACCCACCGCTTGCGCCCCGCCTGTTTATCTGAGCCGAAATGTGTGAGCCTGCCGCCCTGAGCGGCACAGTCTCAATGCTGGCCTCTTCACTGGTTTATCTGCATGCAAATGCTTGACCGACCACAGACAGCCAGCCTTGCCTCTTTCCTGTGTCCGCCCATAGCTAGCCCACACTGCACCTGGGATCCTCGCCTTCGGCTGCTTTTGCACCACCAGGTCGGGGATTTTTTTTGCCAACCCGCTCCACTGCTGGCTTCGCTCCTCTTACTGGTTTAGCTGAGCATTTCATTGTCTTTGGACTCCGTATTGTCGATTTTCTGTGTGGTTTGGTTGTATTTATTGTTGTTAAAACTTTATTGTTTTTAGATTTGGTTGTGCACGGATGCAAGGTGTTTCCACCTAAGCCTCCATCTTGGTGGAAGTCCTATAGGTTTCAAGTATATAATTCTATAACACAGTATCTGTACATTGTACTATGTGTTCACAACTCAAAGTCTAGTCTCCTTCTGTCAATTCACTTTTAGATGAGTAGCTTGATTTACCCAGATGGCATGAGGCCTTGTTTTGGGGCTGGACATCTTCCTGTTTAGTTCCTTCTACTCATGTTGACTCTTGGGGACTAGAGGAAGATTTAGGGGTATGTAACCTTTGTGCTCAGCTAAAAAGTACCAACAACTGTATTCAGCCAGGACACTCTCCTAAGTATGTCTTGTTTCTAGCAGAAAAGCAGTACAGAAAAACTATGGTAGCTTTCTTATTAATATAAAAATTGAGCTTCTGTCATTGAGAAAAATAATTTCTATTAGTCAATTGCAATAAAAATATGAAATGCAAATTAAAACCACAATGCAGAACCACTCCATACCTATCACATAGCAAAAGGTTAGCAGCTGCAACTCTCATGCATTGTTGGTGACAGTGTAAATTAAATTAGTACAATCATTCTGGAAAATTATTTAGGTTCACCACTAAAGCAGAACATATGTATTATAGCACTTCTACTCAGGAGAAATACATACATATGTATACTAAATACATACATACATATGTATTATACCTAGGAGAAATACATACCTAGGAAAAATACTTACATATGTATACTATTATTATACCAGCAGAAATACATACATATGTATACTAAAAAACATACTGGAATAGAATGTTCACAGAATTTTCTTTTTAATGGTCCCAAATCTAAACTAACCACATTTCTATCTACAGCAGAATAGAACATAAATTGTGGTTTATTTTCATCATGTAATACTAAATAGCAATGAGAGTAAAAAAATCTGTAACTATTCACAACAATATAATGAATACCTCAAAAACAATGTTGTGTGAAGACATTCGGCACACAATGATATACTGTATGCTTCCATTGATATAAAGTTCAAAAATAGGCAGACCTTATCTATACTGTAACAGGATAGCAGTTATCCCTGAGTATGTGTGTGAGAGTAGTGACTAGGAGGAGGTGCAGTGGGGACTTCTTGGGAGGCTAGGAATGTTCTATTTCTGAAGTTGGTTTCCCAGGTGGCTTACTCTGTGAAAATTCATCAAGCTCTCTCTTATGACTGCTGCAATTTTCTAAATGCATTTATACTTCAATCAAAAGTTTCCTTTAAAAATACATAAAAAGTTATTCAATAAATGTGTGAATCATGTTAACTATGAGGTGACTTTTGTAAAGCAATTTTAAGAGATCTTTTATGTAATTGATCCTGATATAGTTTAAATCTCTGACCAGTAAAGAATCCATTTAAAAATACACAACACTTTTTAGAAGAATTTCAACCAAGGTCAAGTGGTATTTTTTTTAATTTAGTAAATTTTAAAATAAGAATAAAGTAATCACTTAATGACTTCAAATATTTTAAAAAAAAAACTATTATTAAAAGTTTGTTACTAGTATAAAGGACACATGGACAATAACAGGTGGTGGTGGAAGGAGGCGGGGAGGGCTGGGGGTAGGCTGGGATGGAGAGAAAACTGTACTTGAAAACAATTAAAATTTTAAAAAGTTTGTTACTAAACAAATAAACAATAGAATTGTCCCTACATAATAGTAATTATTCAATGGATACCCAATGCTAAATAAATAAATGAAGCCCTCATAGGACAGACTGTAGGGCCCATACAGAAGAATAGTATAAATGATCCAGAGCAAACACCAAACCTAGTCATTAATATGGAGTGACTTCAAATATTTTAAGTACTATAAAATGAGGCTAATTATTTTGGTGTGATATATTTCATTAATTTATTTCTTAAGGTCTTTTAAAGCAAAGAGATCACTAGGACTACCATACTTTTTTCTTCCTTTGAAAAACAGATTTTGTCAAACTAGACATTTCTAAAGTACCAACAGTTCTTTTTTTTTTTTTTTTAAGATTTTATTTATTTATCTTTAGAGGGGAAGGGAAGGAGAGAGGGAGAGAAACATCAATGTATGGTTGCCTTTCGTGCGTCCCCTGCTGGGAACTGGCCTGCAGGAAACCTGCCTGCAACCCTGGCATGTGCCCTGACTGGGAATCAAACCGCGATTGTCTGGGTCGCAGGCCCGTGCTCAACCCACTGAGCTACACCAGCCAGGGCTCTCAACAGTTCTTTTTAAAATTAAGTAGATTTGAACCACGTTCCATGAAAACTGGGGGATTCTGATCAAACCGCAGTTGTTTAAAGATGACACATCATATAAAAATGCATCATTCACATGGTAATCCCCACTTCTCAACAATTATACCCATTCTGTTTTTCCCCCCAAAGTTATTCATTACTTTTAATTCCCCTATAAATCCTTTTAGAAAGGGCACAGATAAATAAGTAAGTGAATAAAACATATTTTTGTAATTCTCTGATGCTTAAGTCCATACTATATGCCTTTTAGGCCCGGCTGGAGACTCACCCTGTAGATATAGTCCAGCAAAGGGGCTCTGGATGAGTGCTGTTCCTCCAGGGCCACCACAGACACTGGGTGGAGAAGTACATTTGTTGGCAAAGCCATGCACCAGTCCAAGAGGCAGAGTATCAAGGACACAATAAACTGGAAAAGGAAACAGGACCATTACCTTATTCTGCAGTCTTTTAAACTTTGTTAAAGGTATTTAACAAACAACAGAATTGTCCATGCATAATAGCAACTATTCAATGGACACGAGTGAAAAAGGAGTAAGTGAATGAACAAGGTTTTCACAGGATCATCAGCAGAAAGGGATATTATACAGGGGTGTCCAACCTTTTGGCATTCCTGGATCACAATAGAAGAAGAGTTGTCTTGGGCAACACATTAAATCACTGCAAGATATAATCACAAAAAAAATCTCATGTCCCAAGTCAATTTACAATTTCGTGTTGGGCCACATTCATAGCCATCCTGGGCTACAAGCAATCTATTAGCCACAGGATGGATACCCCTGTGAAGATATCCCTGCATGTAATATTATTTATCATTCTGCTTTACATATTCAAGAAACAATTTCTAGGGAATACTTAGCCAATGTGCCACCTACCTTCTTATCTGTTTCCACTGAGGAGTACTCTGCACTTGGTAAAAGAAAAGCAATTGTGGCCACAAGGATCTGTATAAAAGACAAATCCCCAATCAAATAGACCATAGTATTAATTTTGGAAGCTACATGATAAAAATTTCCACATGGCTTCCACTCCACTATATGTGGCAAAACTGGGGACCCCAGAGACAACTATTTCTATTTAGGGTCATACAATTTCTAGCTTCAATTTCCATACTGTTCATTAGGAAATAAAAAAATACTTTGAAAAAATAATTATGAAAATGCTTCCATTTAGCTTTATGATACATTACCCCAGGTCTACACCTGTTATCCAAGTGCTCTAGCATCCCTTTTATACTCAAAGGTATTATTCTGTTTAGATGATAAATTATATAGTTGTCCTATAACCCAACTCCACATTTTGCAGTACCTTACACTCCTATGTCAGAAGTTCTATCTCACTCTAAGTCAAGGGGAAAAATCACTTATGATTTTTGATGTAGTAGAGAGAATAAAGTGATCTCAATGGTGAAATCTGTCTAGAGCTGAGAAAATAAATCACTATCTTCTCTCTCCCTGGGATACCTCATGGGAGACAAACCAAATTTCCTTGAAGAGTTACCACTGTATAAGTACAGCTATAAAAACTGGCAGAAACAAATGTGCTTTAATACCAGGCCCCTAGAGGGGTGAGGGTACCTGCTTCTGCACAAGCAAGCAACCCCAAATGTAATCAACCTCCAGAACATTATTGCTGAGATGATTTTTCTTTCTGTCCTGCTCCTCCACCAATTACCCTCACAGAGGGTATTATAGCAGTAATTTCATTACCACTGGGTAATCATGCTATGGCAAAGCATGGTCCAGGCTGTCAGTCTGGGAAAGACTCCTGTTTTACACAACAGTCCCCACTTTCTTCCCAACGCACCCCACCAAACACACTGAGGGCCTCATAACCAGCTGCCTACTCCTTGTTGGCACCATCTAAATTACTCTGGATGAATGAAGTTCAATCTATAAAAGGTCTCTTTGTTGTGGTCCAGTCTGCCTTTAAAACTGTCCAAGTGGAAGACCCTGCCCTGGAACTGGTAGCTTCATTACATAGTGCCTGAAATCATAGCTGAGAACCAGTGCAACTCAACTTGAAAATGAACGACTCATATGGCAATTTAACCGTCAGTTCTCTAACAGTTATTTATTTATAGTTAATGAAATATCAAATAAAAAAATAAAAGGCTTATACCTTACCATTGGAGTAAAGAGACTTACTTCTGCAATTTTCAGAGGCAGACAGGTTTCAAACATCTGAAGCTTCTCCCAGTAGGAAACCAGTAACTGAAGAACATCACAAGCTGCCTGAGCCACGATTTTGTTAGGAAACTATGAAAGAAAACAAAACCCCAACTAGAAAGTAGTACGGACGTCTGGCCAAGATGGAGGTGAAGGCAGACACACTTTGCCTCCTTGCATAACCGACAGAAGGACAACAACAAATTTCAAAACAAAAAATAATAAGAACTGCCAGAAAATCAAACTGTATGGAAGTCTGACAATCAAGGAGTTAAAGAAGAAACATTCATTCAGACTGGTAGGAGGGGTGGAGACAGGCAGCCAGGTGGAGAGGACTTGCAGCAGGATAGCAACTGGAGGACCAGGGCAGGTGAGGTGGACTGGAAGAGGTGGTGGCTGGCAGACCAGGCAGTCCCACATTTACATGTGGAGAAATGGGAAGGAACAACTGGGGAGCTAGGAAGACCACACAACCCAGGGTCCCAGCACAGGGAAATAAAGCCTCAAAAGGTCTGACTGAAAAAATCTGTAGGGGTTGAGGCAGCAGGAGAGATCCCCAGCCTCACAGGATAGTTCACTGGAGAGACTCACAGGGTCCTAGAACATACACAAAACCACCCACCTGGGAATCTGCACCAGAAAAGCCCAATTTGCTTGTGGGTACTGGAGGAAGTAACTGAAAGCCAGTGGAGAGCTAAGCAAGAGGCACTGTTCCCTACAGGACATTGCCCACATACACAGTGCCATGACGCAGCTATGGGTTGCCATGCCCTGGCAAATACCTAAGGCTCCGCCCCTTACTATGTAACAGGCATATTGAGACCTGCCCGCCCCCCCCAGAAATGGCCCAAATGAAAGAACAAATCAAAGCTCCAGAAAAAATACAACTAAGCAATGAGGAGACAGACAACCTATCAGATGCAAAGTTCAAAACACTGGTAATGAGGATGCTCACAGAAATGACTGTGTAAAGATGCAAAATAGAGAGAAAATTGAAGGCTATGAAAAGTGAAATAAAGGAAGATGTACAGGGATCCAACAGTGATGGGACAGAAACCAGGACTCAAATCAACAGTTTAGAGCAGAAGGAAGAAACTAACATTTAACCAGTACAGAATGAAGAAACAAGAATTTTAAAAAATGAGGAGTCTTAGTAACCTCTGGGACAACTTTAAACTTTCCAACACCTGAATCATAGGGGTGCCAGAAGGAGAAGAGGAAGAATAAGAAATGAAAAACTTATTTGAAAACAAAATGAAGGACAACTTCCTTGATCTGGTAAAGGAAATAGACTTCTAGGAAGTCCAGGAAGCTCAGAGAGTCCCAAAGAAGCACAAACCAAGGCACATCATAATTACATTGGCCAAGATTAAAGACAAAGCAGCGAGAAAAGGAGACAGTTATCTTCAAAAGAGTTCCCATAAGAGTATTATCTGATTTCTCCAAAGAAACCTTATAGGCAAGAAGGGGCGGGAAAGACATATTTAAAGTCATGAAAGAAAAGGACCTACATCCAAGATTACTCTATCCAGCAAAGGTTTCATTTAGAATGAAAGGGCAGATAAAGTACTTCCCAGACAAGGTCAAGTTAAAAGAGTTCATCATCACCAAGCCCTTATTATATGAAGTATCAGAGCAGGGGTGTCAAACTCATTTTCACTGGGGGTCACATCAGCCCCATGGTTTCGACTAGTCCTTAACTAGGGAAAGGAGCTCGGCATTGCTGCCAGATAGAAACAAGGTTCCATGCCAGATACAAGGTGGAGAGTGGGATTTGGTCGCGGGCCTTGTGTTTACCACCTGTGTGTTACACAGACCTATCTAAGAAAAAGATAAAAAACTATGAACAGTACAGTGACAACAAAGTCACAGCTATTAACAACTGAACCTAAAAAAAAAAGCCAAAACCAAAAATGAACTGAACAAACAACCAGAATAGGAACGGATTCACAGAAATAGAGATCATATGAAGAACCCTTGCACATCAGAGGAATGGGGGAGGGGGAAGAATAGAGGAAAAGAAAAGGTACAGGCAAGATGAAGGATAAATGGTAGCTACAAAATAGACAGGGGGAGATTAAGAACAGTATGGGAAGTGGAGAAGCCAAGAATTTGTATGTATGATACATGGACATGAACTAAGGTGGGGGAGTGATGGTGGGAGGTGAGAGTATAGGCCAGAGGGGAATAAAGGGGAGAAAGAAATGGGACAACTGTAGTAGCTCAATCAATAAAACATATTAAGAGGACTTCCGCCAAGATGGATGCGTAGGTGGAAACACCTTGCATCCGTGCACAACCAAATCTAAAAACAATAAAGTTTTAACAACAATAAATACAACCAAACCACACAGAAAATCGACAACATGGAGTCCAAAGATAATGAAATGCTCAGCTAAACCAGTAAGAGGAGCGAAGCCAGCAGCGGAGTGGGTTGGCAAAAAAGATCCCTGACCAGGGTGGTGCGCAAGCAGCCGAAGGCAAGGATCCCAGGTGCAGTGTGGGCTAGCTATGGGCGGACACAGGAAAGAGGCAAGGCTGGCTGTCTGTGGTCGGTCGAGCATTTGCATGCAGATAAACCAGTGAAGAGGCCAGCATTGAGATTGCGAGGCGCAGGGCAGCAGGCTCTCACATTTCGGCTCAGATAAACAGGCGGGGCGCAAGCGGTGGGACGGACTAGGCCAGCAGAGAGGACCGCCACTGCTCCCTCTCTGACCCTGCCCCCACATACAGCATCACAAACCAGTGACCTGGGTGGCCCCACCCTGGTAAACAACTAAGGCTCCGCTCCTCATACTTAATGGGCACGAACAGATAAAAACATGGCTCAAGAGCAACTCAGAGCCCCAGAGCTGATAAATCTAAGTGATGAAAAAATAGGCAAACTTTCAGATGCACAGTTCAAAACACTGGTGATCAGGATGCTCACAGAACTGGTTGATTTTAGTCACAAATTAGAGGAACATATGAAAGCTAAACTGATTGAAATGAATGGTAATGCACAGGAAACCAACAGTAATGGAAAGGAAACTGGGACTCAAATCAAGGGAGTAGACCAGAAGGAAGGAAAAAATGACCAAACAGAAGAGAATAAAGAAACAAGAATTCAAAAAAATGAGGAGAGGCTTAGGAACCTCCAGGGCATCTTTGAACGTTCCAACATTCGAATTATAGGGTTACCAGAAGGGGAAGAGGAACAGTCATGAGTGGAAACCTTATTTGAACAAATAATAAAAGAGAACTTCCTCGTTCTGGCATAGGAAGTAGACTTCCAGGAAATCCAGGAAGCTCAGAGAGTCCCAAAGAAGTTGGACCCAAGAAGGAACACACCAAGGCACATCATAATTACATTAGCCAAGATGAAAAGGAAGGAGAGAATCCTAGAAGCAGCAAGAGCTAAGGGGACAGTCACCTACAAAGGAGTTCCCATCAGACTGTCAGCAGATTTCTCAAGAGACCTTACAGGCAGGAAGGGGCTGGAAAGAAGTATTCGAAGTCATGAAAGGCAAAGACCTACATCCAAGATTGCTCCGTCCAGCAAAGCTTTCATTTAGAATGGAAGGGCAGATAAAGTGCTTCTCAAATAAGGTCAAATTCAAGGAGTTCATCATCACCAAGTACTTATTATATGAAATGTTAAAGGGACTTACCTAAGAAAAAGAAGATAAAAAAGAGGAACAGTGAAAGGACAGCAAACTCAGTTATCAACAACTACACCTAAAACAAAAGTAAACTAAGAGGACAGCTATATCAGGAGTGAACCATAGAAATGAAGATCACGTGGAGGATTAGCAGCAGAGGAGTGGGAGAAGGAGAAGGGGGGAGAAGGTACTGAAAATAAGTAGCATAGACAGTAGATAGAAAATAGATAGGGGGAGGGTAAGAATAGTAGGGGAAATACAGAATCTAAAGAACTTGAGACGTGTTCATGAACTAAAGGGGGGGAATGGTGGGAGAGGGGTGTGCAGGGTGGGGGGGAACGGAGGGGGGAAATAGAACAAATGTAATGGCATAATCAATAAAAAACAAAACAAAACAACAAAAAACATATTAAACCCCGCCCGAACTAAATAACCTAAATAAAACATATTTAAAAAAAACCCTGAACTAAATAACCTAACTGTACATTATTTCTAAGGAAGAACAAAAGTCATTTCTTTCAAGCTTCTTTTAAAAACAAATTTCCTTGTTTTGCATTAAGTTTGTGAAAAATATATCTTATTACCAGACAGTTTATACATGATCGTCATTCTAGAACTAATTCTTATTTTAGACTAGCTGTACTAATTTACATCATATTCTGTAGAAAAAAGTAGCTATCACTTAATCATTTGGAAATTAAAACCATCATTTCAAAAGGTTTTTCTAATGTGATCTTATTCAGATCACATAAATCATAGTTTTGACTATGAGGAAATTAAAAATCAGTACATTATTAGGTATCCACTGTGTGTTAAATCTTTTAGAGACTTTTACTCATTTTAGCATTGAAAAATCTTCACTAACAGCTCTTTAAAGTAGATGTTATCTTCATTTTACATATGGAAAAATGGATTGATCAAATGACTTTCTATCCTATGAAATTAAACTTTAATTCACATGTGTAACATTAAAAATGTGAAAAATTTGAGGTTATGAGAACATGACACATGAGCTATAGTGTATTCAATTACTTGGAGTATATTTTGTGATTCTTCATGTGTCTAAGGTTCTTCTGAGAGGTATGTCAAAAGGAAAGCAACTGTGAGGACCAAAGGCTGAGGGTACATATAGGGGAGGAGAGCACTCTGGCCAGACCTGTGGCTACATGGCTATCCACACCTCATTTTCTACAGCAGAAAGGTTTGTCACTGATTCTGTGTTTCTGTCTAGGGAAACCTCTGGATATGTAGCTTAGTTATACGAAGCAGACACCAACTGATCTGGGGACTACAAAACAACACAGAAAATCTATCATTTAGCATCTCAGTGATTAATGCAGAGGAGAAGGAACAAGATGATTAGTTTTACTGAATTAATTCTACAGAATAAAAATTTACTGACTACCCCTTCCTGACAGAGGTAAGGTGAACCAGGATGAGAGCATATGC